GTGACAGTGATTCAGAACCTCAGTTTCCTCATTTATAGGGATATTAACCCTTTCCCTGCAACACTGTAAAGAGAGCCTTAAACATGTATAACAAAGTACCTGACCAGTGCTTGGAGCACAGTCAATACACAAAGTGCCTCCATTATTATGATTATGCCTATTTCGGAATTGCTTCAATTTTTATTTCAGCCTTATTTCCCCCAAGTACCTCACAGAGTTATCTTTGGATTTGTTATTTGGAAAACATAATGTTTTTCCTCTTAGAATGACTTATTCATGACTTAAAATATCTTCAAACCAGACTAGGACCTTCCAGCCAAATTAAGAAGCTGGTTAGATGGCCATAGTCGTACCTGGTGACCAAATTCACAGATGATATATTTAATTTCTCCCCGACAGAACAGGGTGGTAATACTCCCATCCCACATGTTGGTACCTCTGGTCTTCCAAGACAGTGCATTTCTACTTTCAACCATCTAACTGTTTCATGTGAGCCCTGTGCTGTGCTGTGGTATGAACGAAGGCGTGCAACACCAGGACCTGAAGAACTGTGCTTGAAGTTTGGCTCCATTATGACCTTGAAATTCTCTGAGCTTCCGTTTCCTTATCTGTGAAATGGGGAACTGAATCTCTCTAGGGTTTCTGTTTATCCACATCAGCAGTGACTGTGAGGACGGAAGATTTGCAAGCCATGAACACTGTCAGTGCCAACTATCAATGTATTATTAACTAATAACTCAACTCAGAAGCAACACTGCAGACATTCATATGCTACAGATTCTAAATTAGATCCATCCACAAAATCCGCTGGTCGAAATGTCAAGAGAGAAGTGGTTTCAAAACACTGAAACTCAAATTAGCTTCAGGTAAATGCTCTAGCTCACTTAACTGGGAGGATGGAAGCATGCAGGTGTTACTAGTTTCAGGCATGCTAATATCAGATGAAGTCTTTATTTCTCCTGTTTTTCTTCAGCGTGTTGGTTTCATTCTCTTACCAAGCAGACAGGCTTTCCCTTGAGAGTGAATACGACGGCTGCTGACAACTCCCAATTTGTATTCTTCAAATGCTTGATTCAAAAGGGAAAGGTGCTTTTTTTCTCCACTGATATCTTAAAAAAAAAAAAAAAAAACTCAGGGAAGAACTCTCTGCCCAATGCTTGAAGTCAGGGGAAGGGGGCTCCTAGAGTGGGCAGGCTTAGAGGAAGGAAGGAGTTTAGGGATTGGTAAGCCCAAGAGAATGACCTGACTGAGTGAAGGAAGGGCAGTGGACCAATTCTCCAAATGCAAAAGGCTGGGCAGACACATGCCAGCTGTCACTGTGAGCATGAGGGAGGAAAAGCAGAGAGGATGATGGCTAAGAGTCTTGATGGCTTCATGAACTGCCTACGGTCTCTTCCTTAAATCAGCCACTCTCCTGTGTATGATTAGTGTGACCATCATGTGTTTGTCTAGGACAGTCCCGTTTCATGCCTGTCTTCCTGGCATAATAATTTTTAAAAAATCACCCCCTTTTGCTCTCAAAAATGTCTCAGTTTGGACAACTAATTAATTGCTGTAAATAAGATCCACTAGCCGTTTGGCTTCAGCCACCCAACCTGTCTTAAATCATCCTAATCCTCTGACTCAGCTGAACTTTGACGAGCTTTGATCACCTCTCTGCCTTTTCTTTCCAACCCCCATTTCTGATGGCCTCCATCTGGGGTTCTTTTCAGGACATGTATTCTTACCACCTTCTTCCACTCTCAGGAATATTCTGGATTTTGAATAGTGATGGTGAAAGCTTTAAAACCTGCCTATCTATCTTCTCCGAGCACCCCTGGTGGTAGAATTTTCCTTCCAGCAGCTGCTCTAAGTTAAATGTCCAGTCACTTTCCAAATAGTGCTGTTTCTGCCTGTGCTTCTGTTCCTTCAAAACAGAAGCCCCTGGAGGTCCATCCAGCATGGTCTTGTTTCCTGTTTCCTATGGTAAATGGGGTAAGGGTGAGGATGGGGAAAGCAGTCTACACAGTGTGATGATGGTGAGAGAGATACAAATTCTTGATGACGTGTTTGTGGCTGTCTCCTAACACCAGCCAAGAAGGAAGCAGCCTCTGTCAGCTTAGCCTGTTACCTCCTGACTGCAATCTTGCTGATCAGGTGAAGGTGGTGAAGAAACTGAACAAAGTAGAAAGTGATCTCAATTTCTATCTGAGAAAGGATGAGCCAGGGAAGAGGAGCAAAGAGCCAAGGAGACGTGGGGTGCAGAAATGGGAGAGGGCAGTACTGAGTACAACTCCAGGGGCCACCCCCCACACTGTATTCTATCCGAGTGATTGGCATTCCTGCCTCTTCATAATTGGCAGCACATGCTGTAACAAGTGCTCCCTGGGGCTCCGCCACGAGGCTCCAGCCAGAGAGGGAGAAGAGATGTCTGGTGTTTGCGACTGAGGATTTGATTAAAAAAAAGAAACCACCACCACCACCACCAACAACAAAACCCAAAACTGCTGTGAAGAGAAGTTCTTGGGAGACACAGTGTGTAAAAAAGGCTTTTTTGGAAGTTTTTCATTTATTCAACAAATAATATATATTTGTGCTCTGCTTTGTGCCAGGTACTGTTATAAACTCTGGGGATTTGGCAGGGATGTACATAGCATCTGCGAGATAAAAGGAAAAATATGTGTATTGGTTTTGCCCCGGGTTCCTGGCATAGGGCTTCTAAAACCCTTGTAATTTCCTAGCTGATAAGTACTGGGAGCATTTTTTGTTCTAATGAGGCAGCTCTGAGTGGGCCCCTGGATGACTCCTGGACGCTGCCTGGTCACCAAGAAGACCAAGCCATGATTAGAAGCTTCGAATTTTTAGTTCCACCCCTGTCATCCTTCAGAGAGGGGAGAGGGGGTGGAAGTGGAATTAATAATTGATCACACCTATGTGAGAAAGCTTCCATAAAAATGCCAACAGTAGGAGGTTCTGAGAGCTCCGGGCTGGTGAACATGTCCACACCGGGAGAGAGCTGCACCCCAACTCCACGGGGACAGACACTCCTGCGCTCAGGACCCTCCCAGACCTCACCCTGTGCATCTTTTCATCTGGCTGCTCATCTGTATCCTTTATCATATCCTTTAACAAAAAACATAAGTGTTTCCTGGATTTTTGTGAGCTGCTCTATCAAATTAATTGAGCCCAAGGAGGGGGAGACTTTGGAATCTCCTGTTGATAGCCAATTGGCCAGAAGCACAGGCGATAACCTGAGTTTTCTGACTGGCATCTGAAGAGTGTGTGCATGCGCGTGCGCACGTGTGCGTGGTGGGGGTTAGTCTCGTGAGACTGAGTTCTTAACCTGTGAGATTCATACTGTCTCCAGGTAGATAGTGTCAGAACTGAGCTGAATTCTTGGACACACTGCTGGTGTCCGAGATTTGCTCGTTGGTGTGGGAAGAAACCTCCATACTTTTGGTGAAGTGTCAGAAGTGAAGAGCTTAGTAAAGGAGACTCCCAGGGAAGAAGCACATGGCAAGGAAGAACTGGATTTCCCGTTACATGATTGGAAAGCTGACTTTTTCCCATTTTGGCATCTAACATGTATGACGTGGTGCACTCTTCTGGCACAGCCTGCATTTTAGTGAAAGGGAACAGACAATGAACACATGTAATTAAGTATAAATTACAGCATTTTGGTTAATGACAAGTGATGGAAAAAATGTAGAGTGGGTGAGGGAGATTTGGAGTTCAGGGAAGGTAGCTGCACATTTAAAACGAGCAATCATGGCAGGCTTCAGAGAGAAGATGGTATTTGAGCAAAAACTTGGAGATGAGGGAGAGAAAGGCAAATAATCTGCTAGAAAGCCTTCTAAGCGCAGCGAGGGCCCTTTCAGAGTTCTTGAAGAGGATGTGCATCTGGTGCGTTCATAAACAGCGAGGCCAGTTTGGCTAAAGGAGGTGGGGGAGGGGCGGAGGATATAGTTCAGTGATAGAGTACTGGGTTCCATCACCAGTACCTCCATTAAAAAAAAAAAGCCAAAAAACTCCTAAAAACAAACAAACAAAAAACTTCAAAAAAAGGTGATGGGAAGCAGGAGATGAGGTGAGAGAGGAAGGGGAGCAGGCAGGTGATACAGAGCTTGCTTTGAGGTCATTGAACTTCGAGAGTAATGGGAGCCCTGGCTTCCCAGCAGAGGCTTTTAATTGTATCTTTGCCTAATGCATATTGATGGATATTATACAGTGTAATTCCTGCAAGAAATGGTCAGCATTTCTGTTTCTTTTGAATGTGGCTCACTGCTGATTCATTCAGGTGTCAACAGGCTCTGCTCGCAGTACAGGGCTTGCCAAGGAGACGCACTTGTTGAAGGAATGAACAAATGAGGCGGGACCTCCATGTAGGTCCTCTACCTACTGTTTCAATTTTATTGCCCCCATTCCCTTTCTCGACTGGGGTTCTATCAGCTGCCTGCTCTTTCAAGTATATATTTCTGCCTCTATCTTTGTTCACCACAATTCCCTCTCTTTGAAATGCTCTCCCCAAGCCTTCACATGATTTGATTCTGTCTGCTGTGAAAGACCCAGGATAAGCTCCCCTTCAGGCAGATGCTCTAGATCTCCGGCCTTCGTTGTCTTTTCTGGGCTCCTAGAGCATCAGTCTTCTAAAACCTTTCATTGGTTTAATCTGTCGCGTTCGATAACTTTTTGGTGTTTAGTTAAAAACCACTGTTGGTACTCTTTCTACGTGTTAGGCAACGAATACATAAATGTAGATTATTTCTCAGGGAGATACTTCTATCATTTTTGTTTTATAGAAGCTGACTGGATAAGAGAGTTCAGACTTGGCTGATCTCACGCAATCAGTAAATAGGGAGCGCATGGGGACAAGACCTAAGTTTTACCCCCAAACAAGCAGTAGGGATTGTCTCTCCTGTCCGCAGAAGGGTTAACCGAGTATTTCCTTTCCGCGTCCAGTGAACTCCACCCCTTGCCTTGTAAGTCAAAAGCGGGCGCGGCCAGGGAAGCTTGTCCTTTGCGGGATGCCGTAGTGGCCCTCCCCCGGCTGCTCGGGTCCGGCCGACATGGCGGCCTCCGAGTTAGCGCCGGCTGGGAATCCAGGCACTGCGGAGGGCGAGGAGGAGACGATTCTTTACGACTTGCTGGTCAACACTGAGTGGCCCCCAGAGACAGAAGTACAGGTGAACCAGGCCCCTCCGGGGCTGCGGCCAGCTTGGCGCGGGCGCTGCACCGGCAGAGCCACGTAGCAGGAGCCGCGCAGGAGAGGGGAGCCGGGTGGGCGGGGGAGCAGGGGCTGGGGCGGTCGCCTGGCAAGGGCTCCGGGGGTCCGGGTCCGCTAAGTGGGGTTTCCTGGGTTTCCTCCTGGGCTCCAAATTCGGTTGTCGGGGGCGCGGAACCTCGGGCTCTGAGGCTTGTACCTTCCCACTCTGGTATCTGAGTTTTACCACCCGGTTCTTGGACGGGAGGCACAGCATTGAACTCGAGGGTCCTCTTCATAGCTAGACTCTTGGTGGTCCCTCGCTAGGACTGGCCTGGGCAGATCCTCATCTGCAGTGGGAGAATTTTCTAGGACCTTACAGTCATCTCAGCATCTGGCGGGCTGCCGTGGAGTGCATCATCGAACCTCTACTCCTACTTGGGCCTGAATCGCGCCGATTCTTGTTTATTTAGTAAACAAGCATTTAATAAGTGTCTGCATGTGTCCGTCTCTGTCCCACATACAGTGCCAGGCGCTGGGCTTACAGAGGGGAATAACTTAAGTGGTGCTTGCAGTCTAGAGGACGACAGTCTAGTAAATGTTTGTCACCACCTTCCAGTAATATGCGCTA